CCACGATTATCTTCTGTGTCTGTGTTAATTGGTTTCCCTTTTCTTTGTTGAAGAGGGTCTGTGCAATCCTTCTGCCTAGTCCGCCATCTTGCCGGAACTGACCTTTGTATTATTTATGTGGTGGATTATGTTGACTGATTTTCTAATGTTAAACCATTTTTGCATACCTGGTATGAATCTCACTTGGTCATGATTTTTTTTTTTTTTTTGTTGGAGTCTATTGGCTAGTATTTTATTGAGAATGTTTGCATCAATGTTCATGTGGGATAAGAAAACTAAACTCACTGCTATTGAGTGGATTCTGATTCATAGTGACCCCCATTGGATTTCCAAGGCTATAAATCTTTACAGAAACAGACTGGCCTTATCTTTCTTCTGCAGAGTAACTGGTGGACTCAAACCACCATCCTTTCGTTAGCAGCCAAATGCCTTAACTGCTACACCACCAGAGTTCCTTCCATGAGGGATTTGCTGTTGTTGTTGTTATGTGCCGTCGAGTCGGACCCAACTCATAGCAACCCCTCCTTGGGCTTCCAAGGCAGTATCACTATGGAAGTAGATTGCCCCATCTTCCTTCCAAGGAGTGGCTATTGGTCTATAATTTCATTTTTTAGTGATTTCTTTACCTGGTTTTGGTGTCAGGGATATGCTGGCTTCATAGAATGAGTTTGATTGTATTCTATACTTTTCTATGTTCTGGAATAGTTTGAGTAACATTGGTGTTGGTTCTTCTCTGAATGTTTCAAAGAATTCACCAGGGAAGCTCTCTGGGCCAGGACTTTTTGCCTCTGGGAGTTTTTCAATTTCTTCTTTTGTGATGGGTCTGTTAATATTTTCTACCTCAGTTTGTGTTAGTTAAGGTAAGTAGTGTATTTCTATATATCTGTTAATTTCTTCTAGGTTTTCAAATTTGTTGGAGTACAGTTCTTCATAGTATTCTGTTATTTTTTTCAGTAGGATCTATTGTGACATCGCCTATTTCACTTCTTATATGTGTTGCATGCATCTTTTCCTTTGTTAAATTTGCCAGTGGTTTGTCAATTTTATTAGTCCTTTCAAAGAACCAACTTCTAATCTTGTTGATTCTTTCTATTGTTTTTCTGCTTTATTTATTTCTACTCAAATCTTTATTATTTCTTTTCTTCTGGTGACTATAGGTTTTTATTTTGCTGTTCTTTCTGTAATAGTTGGAGATATTGGGCTAAGTGTTGATTTTGATTTTTTCTTCTTTTTGATGTGTATGTTTATTGCTATAAATTGCCCTCTGAGCGCTGCTTTTGCTGTGTCCCAAAGATTTTGGTATGTTGTGTTTTCATTCTCATTTGATTTGTTGTCGTTGCTGTTATGTGCCATCAAGTCAGACTCGACTCATAGCAATCTCTCCTTGGGTTTACGAGGTGGTATCACTATGGAAGTAGATTGCCCAACCTTCCTTCTGAGGAGTGGCTGGTGGGTTTGAACTGCCAGCCTTCTGGTTAGCAGTCA